TATGAGTCGCATGACATACTTCACAATATTTTCAACAAAACATGCTGCACATATTTCATACATTATGACTTTGTTTTTTAATATTTTATGAAACCTGTATAAAAGCAAAGGAGAGAGGCTATAGAAGGGATTGACTCTTTCGACGACCTCCCCCCATCAGTTCACCTTCTCTGCTCCACCAAAGGAGGATCAAAAAATGAACACATAATTCAACGTGAAGAACACATCCATCATCTTCCCTCTCCTTTCTTATCCAAGTCTCTCTTATATTGCATGAACCTTCGAACAAAGATAGAAGCTAACGTTCTAAAAAGATTCAACAATAGTATATTAATTAAAATTTCTTCTCGCATGCATGTTTAACTTGATTTGACATGATTGATAGTAAGATAAAATAACTTTTTTTTTTCATAAATAAATAAATAAATAAAATTTGACTTATAACCCTAACGGTACTACGGCTGTCAACCTCAAGTGACTCTGAATTGGACATATGATGAGGCGCATTATCTTTCAAATTGGACTACATGAGGCATAGGATCCAAGCTATTAAATGCAGGCTCGCTTTATCATACATATTGCTCTTCATTAAAATCGACTGTATTTCTTCTATGAACACTATTTATGCTTTTTAAAGTGCGAGTAACAATGCTTTGATTTAATATATTTTAATTGCTAATCATATTGTTTTAAAGTATATGATGATTGATGATGTGCCTAATAAATCAGGGATTAAATATGTCTATTAATTTACCCATTTATTTTACAAAAATTATAATTACAATTTTTAATCTTATCAGCAATAATCATTTTTATTCAAATAATAATGATAATAATAATAATTTACTATAAAGTTTGATTGAAGGTCATAATTTTAACCATAATTCTAAAAATCATATAATTAAAAAATTAAATATCAAATAAGCTCATTAAGAACTAAGAAAATCACAATTTATAGTATATATATTATTGCTTAAATACATAGTAAATGTACATGATTTTCTTATTTCGTATTTGTATATTTTCCAATTTAACAGCTATTCTATTCACACGCATGCAATTAATTATAATATTATAAAACTAAGCTTGATTAATAATTTTAATCACACCATGCATCCATAATCACATTTCCCTAAGCATATTAAGAACAAAACACAAAATTATAATATAAAATATTAATACATGAATGATGCTTGATGTTGCTAATAAAAATAAAATAAATTGTTAAATGATTATGCATGCTAATATGATAAATTAATTACATCTTCTTTAATTATCCTAATACTCTCTATCCTACACAAAGTCATAAATGTCACACATAAAAGCTAATCATGAGCCAAGGGAAAGGAGGAACAACTGTGATGGAAGTTGAAATCACAAGAAAAGAAGGGGTTTTGTGGGGGTCCCTACGAGATGCAAGAATCGAAGCAGACGATAGAACATCCCCAATCTCTTCAGCACTGTGGGGCAATAATCAAAAGTGCATGCAGAACCTTGCATGACAACGATGGGAAGAGAGAGAGAGCGGACCCATGAAGTTATCCTAATCCACTGTTTTTCACGAGAAATTATTAAGTGTGGAATTCACACATGCAGATTTCGTTGTATTTTGATTGTATCAATACAACCAATATAATCAACAATATAGCAAAATTCACATCTTTCGTATTTATTTTATCCACACCTAATAATTTTTGGTGTTCAAGTGTAGGACAACGATACTATATTCGAAGCTCAAGAACCTACACTATAGATAGCGTTGTTTACAAAAGTAAAAGGAAGAGAGAGAGAGAGAGAGAGAGAGAGAGAGAGAGAGAATGGTGGGGGCTTTGGCTTCTCCATGCATGATGAAGAAGCGTGGATAAAGGAACATGGCCGAATGCGGCTACGAAGAGAGAAAATGAACCAAAAGGGAAGACCCAAGTTGTGAATATGATAGAAGAAAGAAGAAGGAGAAAGGCATGAATCGGATTCCTCTCAACATTATCCATTTTTTTTACCTATATATATATATATATATATAATTTATATTTTTTGATAGCGAAGTTTTTTGTTTGAAAAAAAATGAATACTATATATTTGAATAACATAAGAAATGAACATTTAACTTTGATTTATTAATTTTTTATTTACTGTAAAAACAAATTTTAGGGCCAAAATAAGAAGTATAACTAGCTATTGTATAAGTATCATAATTAACTTGAATTTAAATTTTCTAATTAAATCATGTAACTACTTGTTGTCATGAATAAACTTTAATAATTTAATTAAGCCTTTCAGGTTGATTAATATTTCAATTAATTGTAGGAATGTAATTAATTAAGTTCAAGCTAATTAATATTTTTGGTAGACAAGGCTTAAAATAATCACGTGATTAATGATCTTAATTAAAATATTACATTATTTTTAATTAGTGATTACAAAAAAAAAAAAAATTTCTCAAAACTATAGAAAAAATTACATTATTTTTTATAAAATATATTGATATGCCACCAGCAAATCTTCATTATCCAGCATAAATCTCGAGGTATGACAGGGATCACGAGATAATATTTTAAGCAAAGGATGTTCAAATATTGATAAAAATTCATCCAGATCTCTGATTTCAACAAACTTATAGTCAAGCTAACCAGCTCGATGATACGGACCTAATGATATAAAAGTCATTCCAATCTGAGTCAAATCAAGTTATTAAACTATTCTTGAAATATTTTTGGACATATTTGGAAGGTCAAATGGTTGTCGAATCTGACAAGTTTATAGTCGAATTAAGCGTCTCGATAAGACAAATCCAACGAGCCCAATATTGTGCATATCTGACATCGTTAAAGTACTCAAATGTCCATTAAACATCGTTTGATCGGAGCAAGCTCTCTGGACCGTTCGATCAAAATGATTTGTATTCATGCATAAATGACACACATAACACTCTAAATAAAACCCCACCCCTTACATGAGTGAGGTGACTTGAAGCTTCAAAGAGAACTGAAAGATCTAAGAAGGAGCTGAAGTTCAACACCATCATGATCGTCATCAACACCTGTCCACCATCATGATCGCCATCATCCACTGTCGATTGTCACCGTCGATCACCACCAACCAGACGTCGTCAGTCGTTGTCGGGACATGAGCTCATCACTACGGTCCATGTGTCAACAACGACCTATGTGTTTCACAACTCGTGTAGCTCCCGACTCCGACCCCCGCAGTCATACTCGCTCCTACGGCCTACCTAGTTCACAGCTCGTGAAACTCCCAACTCTGGCCCCCGCGGCCTACGAACGTCATTCATACACGCCCCAAACGAGCTATGTAGTCATCAGCTCATGTAGCTCTTGACTCCGGCCTTCGCGACCTACATATACATTATTATTCGCCTCTACGACCTACGTGGTTCCAGCTTGTGTAGCTCCCGACTTCGACACAGGTGGCATACGGATGTCATTTATACTCGTAACTACGGCCTATATGGTTCACAGCACCTGTAACTGTTTGTTACAGTTTCTTTGGCCAATCAACGCTTCTGGAGCAACCATCTACAACGCTCAAACAAATTAATATATCCACAACTCCTGTAACAATGACTCTTGCAATCTGCTGTCACCAAGAACTACAGTCAGATTATAGTTATACAACTTTGTAATTTCATCTTCTCTAATTTAAGAGAAGAATGAATCTTGATACTCATCATTCATGATAAATTATTCCAATTGGGCTAGACTTCGTGGTTTTTTCCCCTTTCAAGCATTTTCCACGTAAACAGTCGAGATATATCCTCCAGCTTACTTCTCTTCTGTTATCCGTGTATGTTGAATTCTCGTGCAACGCTTAGACGATAATCCATCACTCTACCGTCACGAATTTTCTGGCACGCATCGTATCTTACTATTGTTCTTTAGTGTAAAAATATTAAAAAATATGTGCCACTTTTTAATAATGACAGGATTAATAATAAAATTTCGAAAAGGAGGGGCCATAAATGAATCAGATCAGTTGATCAGTCAGTCAGTCTAATCTTCGATTCCTCTTTATTTCAGTTGTTTCCTATATTCTAAGTTTATGGTTCGTTTAAATAGATTTTTTTCCTTGTCAACTTGGAACAGTTATATAAATACTTAATTTTTAACGGCATTTACAAACATACCACACAATTCCTATGTATTTACAAATGTAACACCTAACTTTTATTATTTTTATATTATAATTCTCAAATCTCTTATATCACATCAAAAATATCTTTATTTTAAAATTTAGAAAGTGAAATACACATTTTCATGCATAGCTAGCAGGATGGCGTATGTATATGTGCGTGTATGTAAAAATTAAAGTTTAGGTGTTTGATACGTAAATTAATCAGAATTGAGTGGTATGTATGTAAATCTTCGTATTAGTTTTTTTTTAAAAAAATGTTTCAACATTCAATCTCAAATCATATTATTAACATGTAATTACATTGAGCTTTCCATTGGAACCTAATTATCCATTGAAAAATTTATTTTAAATTGCTTTAATTAATGACCTGTGATACGTGCAGCCTCCCCTTTTTGACTATAATGAGGTATCACGTAGGATAGTTATCCACAAGATGGAAAGTTCTTTGTAAAGACTTTCAACATGTTTCTTATGGATGGTGATGGTGGGGTTAGGTATAATGAACCGAAGATAATTAAAATAATTAAGCATGGGTAATGGATAATGAAATGTAATTTGGAAGCAATTAGAGAGCTTAATTTTGGGTTTCATGGCATTTTGGTGGATGGTAACAATGGGCTATTAATTTGGTTCAAAACCCAACTCTAAAATCATCTGATCTGGTTTATATGGTTGATTAGACATGTTGTGCTGGAAAATTTGTGGCGGTATAATGATAATTTAACGTTTAGCATTGCATGAAGATCCA